GGGGGGGGGCACCGGCAGAGAGGACGGCTGGCCTGTGACGGCTGTCCCTCTCCACCCCAGGGTGCAACGATGCTCATCGTGGCCGGCCTGTGCCCCCCGGGGCCCTCGGGACCCCCGCCGCCCCTGCTGCCCAAGCCAGGCAAGGACAACCTTCGTCTGCAGAAACTTCTGAGGAAGGCTGCCCGGAAGAAGATGACCGGGGGCGGGGCCCCCGTGCCACTGGGGGCTTTCCGCACTTCCCTGTCCCCCGTGAGTGAGGCCAGCCACGACCAGGAGCCAACGGCCCCGCGCCCCGCGGAGGGCCCGCGCTCCGTGCCCGCCCTGCCCCGCTCCCCCCACCCCTCCGTCATCCAGCACGTGGCATCGCCTCTGCAGAAGTCCACAGCCCCCTTCAGCTTCACTCAGCACAGGAGCCTGGCTGCCCACTTCAAGGCCACGGGGCTCCGGCTCACGACGCCGGCCCTGCACCCCACCCGGTCCCCCAGCGGCTTCACGCAGGTCTCGGCCCCCACAGCAGGGGCCACCCACGTCAGCCAGGTACACATCCGGCTCGTGCCGTCCCCACAGGCCAGGACCCCGGAGCCCTGCCAGACGGCCCCAGATGGGGGGCCTGGTGGGCAGGACAAGGACACGGTCCCGTACCCTCCTGGGGCCCAGCCCCCGGCCCCCGCGGCCCACGTCCGCCCTCTGCCCACCGAGGCCCAGACTGCCGGTCCTTGCCCCGAGGCTCCCCCTCCTCAGTGCCCTGGCTCTGAGGCCTTGGTGCCCAGAGAGGGTGGCACTCGGCTTGTGGTGCCCATAGTCCCCACCTACCGCTCACCGGGACCCTCGCCTCACAGGCCGGCCTCAGCTGAGCCCGTGGAGAAGCCCCCTGTGGCTGGCCCTGCCGCTGAGGCCGAGGCGGTCTCCAGTCCCCGGGGGGCCTCGTCCCCGGCCCCGCCCTCAGGCCCCCACCCATACCCTGTCCCCAAAGTTGCACCGAGGCCCCGGCTGAGCGGCTGGACGCGCCTCAAGAAGCAGCTGATGGAGGAGGCGGAAACATCCCCGTGCCCGGGGCCAGAGCAGAGCCCAGAGGGCGGGGGGCAAGAGGTGACAGCCCCTGCCCTCCCAGCGTCCCGGCCCCCAGCCTCCCGGGCCTCCAGGATGTGGGACGCGGTGCTGTATCGCATGTCAGTGGCCAAGTCCCAAGGCAGCCCGGCTGGGCCCAGGGATGGGGCTCGTACCCTGGCCGGCCTGGGCCGCCTGCCCTTCCTGTGCAGGCCGCGATTCAACGCCCGGAAGCTGCAGGAGGCAGCCGCCCGGCCGCCTCCTACAGTCCACTGCGTCGTGGACCTAAACCCCAAGCCCAAGAACTTCAACCGGACTGCAGCTGGCTGGAGGCTCCAGTGACCGGTCAGGGCAGCACCGGGGCCCAGGACCGTGGTGTGGACAGAAGAGGGACAGGGGGTCCAGCTGGGGAGCCACGGCCACTGCAGAGGGCGCCAGGGCCGGACGGACACCGGGCAGCCGGGAGGTGCGGGACGGACAGGCTGCAGCAGGAAGGACTGTGGCGGGGTGCGGCAGGGGCAGGTGGGGTCGGGGAGGAGGCCGGTCTCCACGGCATGGACTGGGGCAGAGAAGGGGTCTGCACTGGGTTAGAATATATATGGGGGCTAACGGGGTAAAATCACGCGCAAGAAGGAAGGAACACTCAGTGATGAGGCAGCGGGTAGATGAGTCGGCCCCGCACAGCAGGGCCCATGGCTCGGGACTCGGGGCAAGGGTGCAGGGGGGTGCCTGGGCTCCTGAGGGGCTGCGGGCCGGCAGGGCAGGGAGGATGCTGGGGTTGGGTTCTGTGGTCCCCCCGCCCCTCCGGGAAAGATGGGGGACAGATTTATGTTTGCTGTGCAGAGCGGGGCTGGCCAGGGCGACTCAGTTGTGCGCGGGCACCAGAGGCTGCATCAGCGGTTTGACTGTCGTTCCTGACACATGTGGGGACAGGCTCAGCTCCTTTTGTTGCCCGCCTCTGATTCCCCCGCCTGGGGGGCAAGGTGTGAGGGGGGCTCGCTGGCGGGAGATGGGGGCGGGGCCCAGCTTCGATGGCTGGGTAAGGACAGGTGTCCTTGGTCCCGGGGCAGGGGAGGCAGCGGAGGGGACCCCAGGCCTCATGCGGCTTCGGGGCCCCCACGTCTGCAGTCCCCACTGACTCGAGACAGGGGCCAGGGCTCTGATGGGGTCAGAGCAGTGATGGCAGAGGGACACGGAGGTGCCTGGGTGCAGGACTCAGGGGGGGAAGAGATAGCCAGTAGGCGGCCAGCTGCATCACGCAGGGCATAATGGGTGCTGTAAACGGATCCTGGGACCCAGGCCACTAATAAAGTGTGTCTAACCACGGCAGTGGGCCATGTTTCTTCACCAGGTGATGGGCAGGGTGGTGGACCCCGGAGGGGCCCCCGGCTGGTGTAGGAGAGCGAGCCAAGTGTGGGTTCCGACCAGCTCCAAGGCCGGGCATTCAGTCCCCACAGGCCGCCCTTGCAGCTGTAACAAAGCAGGCCTTGTCCGTGGCCCCACATTCCCAGAAGGACACATTCCACACACACGACACCTCACGCTCGGGCTGCTGCCCCGGACTCACCAAGAAGGGCAGCCTAGGGCACCGAGCCCTCGTCCACAAGCACCTTCTCATACTTCCCATGTCCGGTGGCCACAAACTTGTACCTCTTTCCAGACGGAGTGCTCTGCTGGGAGAGGTGACCAAGAGCAAAGCTGAGAGCGGCAGAACGGAGATGGTGCTGCCTCTGGGAAGCCCTCCCAGATGCACTGAGGATAGCCCCTCTTTGCTTTCAACTGCTAGACCCGCCCTCCCTACATCAGCCACATTTAGACCCTACCTTAATTGTCGATGACGTCTTGGAGCCTCCTTTTTGCTCCCAGAGGCTTTTCTTGCTCATGTCTCCAGCTACGATATCCTGTGTTCAGAGGAAGGACATGTCACAGGTGCAGACCCTCCACCAGGGAACTCAAAGCTGTGGTCCTTTCTCTCCTGTCCAGCCTTGCCCGGCTGGGTCCCAGGCCTGCCCACCCACTTCCTTGTACGAGAGCCCGGGGGAGGAAGTAAGAAAGGGCAAGTGGCACCACCTACATGCACTGGGCCACCAGTTCCCCCACATGGCCTTCCACTCTGGGGGCCAGCCCGGTGAGCACCCCCCAAACATCCCAATGCTCTGTCTACCCACACTGCAGCCTAGACAGCCTCATACTTGCCTTACCAAGGGGACCCCACCTCACCCTGGGATGGGTGTTACCTTGCAAGAGGGGGTCTTGGCAGTGGCCTGAGCCTGCACTTCTCCCGTCTCCCACCGGCTCTTGGTGCTCGCCACAGCCATGCTGGGCAGCTCAATGGAGGGCTGGCGGCTTAGCTTGGGGGTCCGGCCAGCAGTCTGCAGAGGAGGAAAAACCCAGGACCACTTTAGTGGACAGCCACATGGGACATGTCAGAGAAGCCAGGGTGAGGGTCTCCAATACATGACTTCTTCTACATCTTTGTATTTCCAGAGGAGTGCTTTCCCAGTAAGGGGCTAGGGCAGGGCACTCTGGAAAAAAAAAAAA